TACGATGATTGGACGAAGTTTGGAAATAAAAGGAGAAATTAGTCATAATTCGGGGAGTCCTCCGACCGATTTGAAAGTGTCCAGACTCCACATACGTTTCCTCCTGATGGCCAACGCCCATAACGGAGCCCGATAGACAAAGTCCCGAGTCTACACTTAGAAGAAGTGATATCTTTATATTTTGTGCACGAATTAATCTCCCATACGAAAGGAATATGAACCCTATCTACAAGGTGTCCTATATCTACAGAAACGAAGACGACAACTAACAGGTCGTATGTTTAGAATCATTTTGTGAGCTCTCTCTCGATCGCGCATTAGCATAGATTTAGTCGTAACCTTTAACTTGTCATATAATCGTTGTTATTGATTTTCTGTATTCGTTGTTTGGATTTATTAAATTTTACTTATGTTTATTATATAAGAATGTCTCCTCAATTCATTCCGAATCAGATCGTTATCGCGTGTTTGTCCGCGCCTCTATAAATTGACAAACTGGTGTCGGGAACCTGACGAAGGAAGAAGGGGAATTCGCCTTCACCAACTTCCGCTTTAAATTATAATATAACCGTAAAGCCCTCCACACTCGTTCCCTACGACGGGGAAAGGCCGTTCTTTGGACGACTGAGAGCTGGTCTTACCGACTAGTGCCTGTAAGTGTTACTCGAGTACTACTTACTCCGTAACCTTGGCTACTTTCACAATAGCTAAGATTGAGCCTACTATAGACCTGTTCAAGCCATACTGCCTAGCAATATCAGACACCTTGTGCTCACTTTCTACCTTGGCTATTATCTCTTACTTAGTTTCTACAGTGAGCACAGTTCTTGACACTCCTCTTTTTAGGCTCCAAAATATTATCAGTTTCTTTTTTAAATAAAAAGTTCAGAAAAGCACTTACAAAAATTCAGAGAACAGAAATCAACTAGGCCACAAAAAATTATTTAAATACAAGGCCCAAATGAAATTCGAAATTTGGTATTAAAACGTTAACGAATATCCTTTCACCTTTCATAAATAAACCCCGAAGCAAAATTTAACAAGTACCTGTCCGACAGTCTCGCGAAGACTACAAAAATTATTTGTCAGAAAGGTAAACAAAAAGCCGGAATTACAACAGTGAGTTTCAAAATTTGGAGGAATACTATCCGATCGGTATCGAGTTGAGAGTCGATCTTACGTCTCCCACGCTCCGGAAGGTTTCGAATTGTTACCTGAAGACGAGGGAAAATCAATTGGTATTCGTTATTTTTGGTCGCTTCTTTTTATGTTTATTCAGTAAAGTGTTCGTTATCCGAACATGTGTTCGTTGTCCGATCATAAAAATCTTTTGCAAAAATATTCGTTATCCGATTTGTTCGCTATCCGAACTGTTCGTTAACCGATCACCCACTGTACAAATCTCCACTTACAGAGTACTTGTCAGAACTTACACTAACTGCTCTAACAACCTAGATACTATTCAAGAACTTAATTCAACCTGTATAGTAAAAATTATGTTTTATTGTATCAGTATCATACACAATGATTTTGTTTTCATAATTCTGATATTTCAAAATTGTAAAAATACAACTATTGAAGGATTAAAATTATAAAATAAAATCATTCAATGCAAAAGTAGTACTGTTAGTTTTTCATTATAGTACATTATAGTGACACATTTAGAAATATGGAATACCTATTGTGGGCTCAGATACCCCATATTTCTAAACGTGCCACTTCTGGATGAACATCTCAACACTGTAAAACCACCAGAACAAGGATATAATAACCCTATGTAAAGTATATAGAACAGCACAGCCAATAAGAGATGTCATATTCAAAAGGAATCTCACTTTATATCAACTTATCAGATATGATAAAGACAAGGTAAATAACCAATCAAGGTAAAGTCCTGACATCTGAGGGGATAGCCCTGCACTTGTCAGATATATGGAGATTGTTTAAATTTACAGACAGACTCAAGAATACCTTCATAAACTATAAGAATGTGGAAATTATCTAACACACAGCATATTTTACATGAGTAACAAAGTGTTTAGACACTTAATTACACATGCACGATTATCATTCATCATCATTCATCTTTATATTTATTGAATTTTTGTTAATTTTTATATTTATTACACTTATTGAATTTTGTTATTTTTATATTCATTAATTTTATCATATTTTATAACATTAAATTTATACTAGCCAGAACGTGTTAAATATTTGTATTATAATATTCTTAATAGAAAACCTATTTCCATCCATTTTTGAGAATATTCTATGTTTAAAAGATTTCACTCTGGACAGAGCTACTTCACAATGTTCACACATTGTCTTATCTGTGCAATGATAGCCTGTTCGATTGATTCCTTTCTATTATATAAGTATCACTTATTCTGTAACTTGCAATGTTTTTGTTCTCAAACATCAATTTGATGGTGGTTCCTGATGTAGCTGTAAACATCTACTCATTAAAAAGTTAATGCTAGATTTTAAAGAATATAAGGGGGTTAAAAAGGGGTGGCTACTATATACCTGTACTATAATTAATAATACCATAAAATGGACAATATTTTTAGTAGTTTTTAAAAAATAATTAAAATGTTATGCTAATTTTCTTTACTGTTAATAACCTTTCTAATAAAAGCTGAAAATTTTAAAAACAGACTGAACCACTTTTCTGTCAGATTTAGGGTGTAACAATAGTAAGTAAATGGTAAATAGTAGTTATTAGTTAATTGTTTATTGGTATCTCATTCTCTCTTCTCTGATCTTCTGCCCTCTATAGTTTTATATGTCTGAGAATAATGCTAAAATTACACATTGTTATATCTTATTTATGACTAAAAGATTATATCTATTCTTTATATAAAATTTATATAAAGAATAGCAATATATTAAAAAGCTTGTTGTCTGTATTAATTAATTACAAAACATAATTACTTAGGACTAATAAGCACATTCATTAGTCCTAAGTAATTATGTTTTTGTAATTGTTTGATAGCAATTTTTAATTTACAAGATTCATTATAGCCTAATGATAGATTTTTAAAAATAAAAATTTGTAATTTGTAAAAGTTATTTGTAAAAATTAAAATTGTTAATCATCACTTAAAGATCAACTTGTAATGTATTTTAAATTTTTCGTATCTTAAGTCATATTTTGTTTATGTTTATTACCTCCATAAACAATACCAATTTATTAAGTAATAATTTATTAAGTAAATATTTTTATTAAGTAATAAAAATAGGTTATAAATAAACTAACAAAAGTAAATGGTTTTGAAAAATGTATTCCTATCTCAAACAATTGTATTTAAACATTAAATGTTTGGCTAGAAGATGGGACTGGAGCTAGAGCCACAATCAGGGCTTCTGCTCAAAAGCCCTGCTTATAATCATATTTAAAAAATTGCTATAAAACTTGTTATACAACCTGCTATATTATAAACTACTATACATATATTAGTCATGTCTTATTATTTAAAATAATTTTTGCATAATTATTAAATTATAGATTTGCATAAGAACAGATGAGACAGTTGACTCTAACCATACAAAAGAATTTGTTAAAATAATATAATGTAATCTGGCATAGTTCAATAACTATACCAGATTACATTATATTATTTTAACATTCTCACTGTCATCATCCGTCTGTCTATCCATCTATCTTTTGTTAATCTCGAAAATGGAGTTAGATAGATGAAAATCAAGACCAGATATGGAAAGCTTATCACTTTAAAATTTTTTCATTCTTTTTCTAATCTCTTTTCATTGTTTGTATTTATAATATAATCTATATATGTCTATATCAATATGTCTATATTTATAATAATAAACATAATAATAATAATAATACTGTATTCATTGCAAAATTTCTACAAGATTTTTATTTTTGCAGAAATCTTAAACTAGATTTGAATGTGTAAATTTTTAAATTAATTTTAAGAATAAACAATTTCTATTACCTTTTCATTTGTTTCATACATTCTTTCTAAATTTACAACACCAGGATAACTGAGATTTTGTAAAATTGACACTTCATTTTTAAGTTGAGCTTCTTGTTTCGTTGGAAATCGTTGTTTATCAATTACTTTTATAGCAACTGCTCTTCCAGAAGTACGATGCACACCTTAAATTTGAATAATCGATACAGAGTAAAACATTAAATTTTACTAAATTTTCATTCTGACAAAAAAATAATACCAACAAATTTTAATTATGTTAAAATATGGCTAATTTCATTCCATCTATGAATTCTTAGAAATGATAATTCAAATTTTTGATATTGTATGATATTGTATTCTTAATATTGTGGTTATTAAATTAATGTTAAACTTAATAATCATAATATTGTATGATAACATGCAATATTAAGAATATATTTATAGAGTTGCTCATAAGTAAGAATCTGATTATACAAATCTTTTTAAACTTTTAGATAATTACCATAAATGCAAAAATTTATTTTAAGTATGAGAATTTTATTATTTGAATGTTTATAATCTTAGTTAATATAATTAATAAGAGCCAAATGAATAATTAAGAGCTTGTTTCGAACTTGTTTGATAGCAATATATTAAAAAGCTTGTTGTCTGTATTAATTAATTACAAAACATAATTACTTAGGACTAATAAGCACATTCATTAGTCCTAAGTAATTATGTTTTTGTAATTGTTTGATAGCAATTTTTAATTTACAAGATTCATTATAGCCTAATGATAGATTTTTAAAAATAAAAATTTGTAATTTGTAAAAGTTATTTGTAAAAATTAAAATTGTTAATCATCACTTAAAGATCAACTTGTAATGTATTTTAAATTTTTCGTATCTTAAGTCATATTTTGTTTATGTTTATTACCTCCATAAACAATACCAAATTGTCCAGAGCCAAGAACTTCATCAGGAAATATCTGATACTGCTGACTTATATCCTATATGAAAATAAATTGTTTTTATAAATAATATATACAACTATCGATAAAAAGAGATCGGAATATTAAACGTTTATATGTTGTCGAGCATTTCCGACAGAAATACGGAAGCTAAATCATCATGCCCTACAAATACACCTATGAGCATTAATAGCCACCATGTAGAGGAGCATAATGACATAACAAAATGCAAATTAATCCTTTAATAAAATTCACAAATCCTTCACACACAAAATAATACTAACCTTTTCAATTGCAAAGTAAATACAGTTGCAAGAACAAGATAGATCAGAAGCAGGACAATTTGGAGAAGACCAGAGAATCTTTTAAATTAGACTTAGTCAAAATAATTTTGTTTAAATTTAAATTCTTAGTTTTCTTACATTAAAAAGGTTTAATTATCCAACTTTAAGAGAGTAAATTGAGTGGGAAAATAAATTAATTGTTAACATGATGGATATAGGAATACCAAAGTATATAAAATCTATAATTTGTTTAGATGTCACAATGAACGCCCCTATTTGCATTAAAGCTACAGAAATAATAGCAGATATAGAAAATTTCTGTTTTCAAATAAAAATAAAAAAGAAAAGTTAAAAATTAAACATGATATCAGCAAAGCATTAAAAAAATTTATAATAGATAATAAAAAAAGTGTCACTATTGTTGTGGAAAAAATAGTAAAGTATACAAAAGTAAATATAAGTTGGTAAATAATTTTTTAAGCGAAAAACAATTCCACTTGTTGCAAGTGAAATGTAAATCCCACAAAGTATCATGGTATGGGAGTGCATGTGTATTGGAGGAATAAGGGAATTATGCATATTCAACACCACTGAATTTTCAAGTGTACCAAGAAATTCTCAAAACATTCATGATACTGTTATCAGAAAACTTCTTCAGAAATTATATATTCATTTTTCAACATGATCTTGCCTTTCAAATCAGCATCAGCTATTGTTTGCCTTAATGATAAGTTTTATCCAAATTTCTCAGACAAATCCCTTAGAGAAATTTTGCAATATTGCTAAGAAAAAAACTGAATAAAATGAAACCCTAGATATTATAAAATTTAAAAGACAAAGTACACATTGCTTGGTGCTTAGCGGTGCCTGGAGAGTGTTGTCAACTCAATCCATACTCCAAAGATTACATGCTATAATTAAATCCAAAGGAGGCCCTACTAAATGTTGACGCTATCAAAATATATTATTATTTGAAATGAAATAGAACACAAATCAGTTGAAAACTTATTCTAATATTTTGAAACAAGTGTATATTTATTTTTTTTTACAGGATAGAATTATTTTGTTTGTGATTAATTTAACATTTTAAAGGATTAACTTGCACTTTGTTACATCATTATGCTCCTCTACATGGTGCTTTTATTGCTGTACTTGCAGGACATTATTATTTAGTTTCCATATTTTTGCAGAAAAGGCTTGACAACATAAATTTTTATAATATTCTAATTTTTTACCACTACTTGAACTTAGCAAGAAATGCATATGAGATAAGATTTATAAGTTAAATTTAATTCAAATTACCGTATTGGATTGAAATTTGCTTAGAAAATTTAAAAAGTTTCAGATCTTGTGATCATCATCAAGAGTACATAAGAAAAGAAGCATCAAAAGAAAATGATAGATTATAAGTGGTAATCTGCTACCTACTTATGATCTTTGTTCTTCTGTGTACTCCTGACAATGTCTTATAACCTAAAAATACTTCTAAAAAGTCTTCACTTCAAGAAAGTAGTTTGAATTGAATTACTTAACAAGTATATTATAGTAATATTTTTGTATTATCTAAAGTAAAAAATAAACAATGGTCATACTTTTATACGGTTTTTTTTACTTTAAAAAATGTGGTTTCATAATCTATTAATTTTTTAAAGTAATAATTATTATACATATTCACATATTACATATGAAAAACTTACCATACTTCCATTTGTACTTTCATTTTGGTTTTGGCTATCTGGAGAACTCTCTGAAAGTTTTAAATTAAAAATTATAAGTATAATAACAGATTCATTGTAAAACTTATTAATGCTTTACAGCTATAAAAATGCTTCTCTCCAATTTTTCTAAATTAGTCATTAGAGAAAAACCTCAAAAAGCTTAAATTTATGTACTTATGGTAAATAAATCTTACTATTTGAACGCGGAGACTGCAGAGACGTTATCGAAGCAACGACTGGCATTAATGCTTGCTTTATTGCAATTTCCCAACCTTGAGCAACATTCTTATCGTCTTCCACTCCAACAAAATAATCAACTATTGAGGTATGTATTTTGAAACAAAAATCTTGCTTATTGAGATTTGACGAATTTGTTTGTTCTACGGGTTCTACAGATAAAATTTCTGACAGAGCAATTTCCTGAAAATTTTTGATATTGTAATTTAATTCATTTATAAGACAAAGTTTTAGTTTCATAAAATACATGAAGAAAAACTTTGATAATATAAAGATACAAAAATATTAATACACAAATCCTGTCAATGCATGCTATATTGTCAGTTTTTCAAGAGATGATGTCAACACGTTGCCAATTAAATTTAATGTTTTTACAATTTTATATTAAATATTTATGGTGTATAGTTTACACCTAGCTTAAAATAAGATTAATATGTAAAAGCTGGTCTATACATATGATTTAAATAAGTAACACAATTAGACCTAAAAATGCATACATTTCGCTACGTACTCTTTTATTGAATTAATTTTGACAATACTTCTTTGATAATCTATCAAAATTTTATTCTTCTAATTCTCTGTTTTTCCTAATTTTTACTGTAATTTTTAATTACTGTATGAATTACAATAAACACGAATAAAGTAATCACAATATTTTATAGAATATTTTTTAATTTAAATTAAAAATATATCTATACTAACAAACAATAATAGCCTAATAAATGCAACTTTTTATTATTATTTCAACGTTATCAAAATTAATTGAGTTTATATTTTGATAAATAATCACTAGTAATATACAGGATGTCCGAGAAAGATCTGCATTTCATTTTTTAAAAACAAAGCAGTCTATAGAAGTGCAGTTTGTGATAAAAGATTAAATCAAAAAGCTTTTTAATATGAAAATTAATACAATAAACTGAAGTTGTTTTGCATATATGAACCTCAACATGTACTCCTTTAGTTGAAACAAAGAATGTCCAATCAATAACTGATTTGACTGTTGAATACAAGATTGTGTTATTAATTAAACACTTGGCTTTTTTCCATCTTTATTCAGTTGATACGGATACTTCTACACATTTCGGGCACTTAGCCCCTCATCAGTCAAACATAATTAACTTGTGATCGATTTGACATGGCTTAAGAAACGTTGACAACTAGGGATTAACACTGTACTAATAGAAAGGCCTTCATTTTCCTTAGAAGCAGTTGCAAACCCCTGATATTTGCCCAGCTTAAAAAGTAGGGCCTCCTCCAACTATTGCCAAACTTAAACTAGTCAGGCCCTTGGCAAATTTAAGAAAATGGCCTGCTGATAAGAGCCATTTCCTTAAATTATGGGCAAATATCAGGGGTTTGCAACTGCTTCTAAGAAAAATGAAAGCCTTTCTATTAGTATAGTGTCAATCCCTAGTTTTCAACGTTTCTTAAGCCATGTCAAATTGATCTGCAAGTTAATTGTGTTTGATTGATGAGAGACTAAATGCCCGAAATGTGTAGAAGTACCTGTATCAACTGAATAAAGATGGAAAAAAGCCAAGTGTTTAATTAATAACACAATCTTGTGTTCAACAGTCAATAAATACTAAAACACGGTTTGAAAACAAAATAACTGATTTGTTGCTGAGTGTTGTTTAGCATTTTCTGTGTCATATTGGAGATTGCAAGGGTTATCTTTTCTTTCAAAACAATAACATTACATCACATAACTGCATTGGATGTCCTTTCATGAGGTTATGTCAGGTGATCTAGGGGTTGTATGGAGACCAGAGTGTTAGTTCCCATGGCTAATCTGTCATCCAGGAAACACTAAATTAATCAAATTATGTATGGAAAATGTCTAATGAGGGAATGCACTGTCCTGTTGAAATAGTACCTGGCAGAAAACAGTTATCAGTTGGACATTCTTATGAAACTAAAGGAGTACAAGTTGAGGTTCATCAAATGTACACAAAACAACTTCAGCTTTTGTATTAATTTTTGTAATAATAAAACATTTTGATTTAATCTTTTTATTACCACAAACAGCATTTCAATAGATCATTTCAATTTTTTTTTTTTTAATGAAATTTTATAACATTGTAAATCTTTCATGGACACTCTTATATTAAAATATTATCAATAAGAATTGCAAAAGATTAGGAAACTAAATAACAAGAACAACAATTTTGAATTCAATAATTAATTATAAATAAATAATGTAAAATAATGAATATTTATTGGCCATCTTTGGGTTCTAAATACAGACCTTTATTAAAAAATTTTTCATATATTTCAAATCTGAAGATGGGCAATAAATGCAGTTGAAATAGTTTTTATTTATAATTAATTGCTGAATTAAAGGTTGGTTTTGTTTTATTGACAATATATAGATATTAATCTAAAATATTAGTTTGATTTCTCATATGTCTGTTTAATCTTTTGGTGATTTTACAAATAATACAATTGTCGTAAGCATACAAAATAATAAAATATATTATTCAGAAACTTTAACTGTAGTGGTTTAAATTTTAAATATTAAATGCAAGCGTCTATGTAAAAAGTAATTAAGTTCGAGAATAAAACTAAATATTTGACACCGTTTTAATCTCAACTGACATCTTAACTATTTAAACTAATGACATTTAATAAATTTTTAAACAGTTTTTCTCTGAATATATTATTATTATTATTTATTAATACACTTTATTTAATCTGCATAAAAGCTTTCATTAAACAACAATCGCAACTGTGTTTCTAATTGAATTTTCTACCTCATTCATTCTGACACAGCATGCTGGATTTAATATGCTTAGAATTTAATTAGCCTTGCACCACATGCTATCCAGGAATTTTGGAACAATTTAATTAGTTCTGCTATTTTTCAGGAATAATAAAATGATATATAATACTCCTTATTCATAGGAGAAAAGAGACAGATTTACACCATACAGTGTTAAAGCATTTGTCATATCTCTTCAACAATTATATAATTTTTTAATATTGGTCTATATAATAAATAAAATACTGCAAAGCATATGATGCATTATAGTATAGAAGGAACACAAAGTGTTTTAAAAATTTTGAATTTTTTAACATTTAAGGTTTTTAGATCCTTTATAAATATTCTTTTATAATGATTAATAATGTAATTATCGGTTTATTTTATATAATAAATGTAATATTTTATAAAATTCTTACATATTTTTTTATATAAGTTATTTTTCACAAACATGATTCAATTATAATTTATTATTAGATTTAAATTATTTATTTTGGATAGGTTTTCATCATAGAAAATCTCTGTTCTGAAGGGTCTTTCTATTTAGGCAGGTTTCCATTTTATTAAGGTTCCATTTTACACAGGTTTTACGGTATAACAATTTACAATACTCACACTGAATGCTAAAATATAATGACAGATTCCTAGATAACAAAGTTATTAAAAGAATGGTACATAAGAGAATAATACATCTCTGTATGAATGACTATAGAGTAAACTATATTCATTCATACAGTTAAACAGAAAAAGTACATTCTATTTTTTCAATATTAATATTTAATTATATATTTTTATAATTATAAATTTAGAGATCAAAGTTTATAACTACAGAATGTATAAAGTCAAATATTATAAAAATCTCATATAACATATTTGAAAATTATAGAAATTAAACAAAAACGTTCTTAATCTCAAATTTAATAAGCAATTTTCAATTGTAAGTAATGATTTAACTTGTTTTACATATATTCTAATCCAAGTACAAACGTTTCTATTAATCAGAGCCATCATGATATGGTGGGCAACCTACGCAATTGTGTATATTGCTGAAATAATGTTTTAAAATGAGTTCTCCGAATGACATACTATTGCACTAAGTATTACCTAAAGTATTTAGTTACATTTAGCAGTGTTTTTAATGCATTAAGATTTTACTCAAAGGCAAAGTTCTTAATTCTAACCAATACAAGAAAACCAATCTTTGCAAGAAGTAAGCCAATGGTATTTTTAGTTTAGTGGCATCAAATGAGAGATCTTTCTAGGATGCATAAAAATTCTCACTATAACATTGCTATTAATTGAACATAAAAATTTCCTGTACCTTATAATATTTAGATGTAGCTTCGTTTTGATGAAGAGTAATTGTTTTTGTGTCCATCATCCAATAATGTCTCTTTTTCTAAAAAGAAAAAAAAATATACTATATATGTTGA